AACTACTGAAAAGTATCTTGAGTTCAAAAGTTCTCGAGTTTAAAATTTTATACGTAATTCCGGTCACTTTATGCTAGTGTTAGTCCCCAGCTCTGATTACAATTCTTGTTCTACAAATCGATCATTTATTAACATGATAATCAGTAACTAATAATCAGTTCTTCCTCTAAGACTTAAGACTATCATCCTATTACTACTGCTATATGAAAAATATCCTCTCCTACATAAACAGGCAAATACGCATACTTCACTAGCATCCATAAATAAGCAAATACGCACAGATACTCCATAAGATTCTTTATTAAACACTTACGTTCTACATTAAAAAATACACTTCTTCGCTGAACACTCACAGTTTCTACGTTAGGAAAAAACATACTTCTTCACTGAACACTCACGGTTTCTACATTATAATTAGGAAAAAACATACTTCTTCGCTGAACACTAAGATTAAGATATACTGGTGGGGGATAACAATGGAAGCCAGTCAAACAATATTACTTAATGACTTCCTTAATGCAACTGACTTTGTTTACATGAAGTCAAGTAATGATTCAGACATCCTGGATGGAGATAGTATAAGTGGTGCAGCTGGAAGTATTTTGTCTTGTAGTGATAATAATAGTGAAAATGTTAGAAATGGTCTTGATGATTATGATGTTGGATTTCAGGGTTTTACATTGAATAAGTTGGAAGTTGATAAGGCGAGAACATTGGCAGATGATGCCTGGGATGATGATGAACTTTTTCTTCGAGAAATGGAGATGGAGATGGAGACGGAGATGGAAACACGTGACAACGATGGTGGGGAAATGACTGACACAATGTGTGATGAATGCACCGTTTTAGAAAGACCACCAGTAACAATAACTGTTACTGACAATAATCTTACACCATGCGTTGTTCTAGATCTTAATGAAAATGGAGAAATCCAACCCTGTCATAAATTAGCAAAATATCAGCGACCACTTACTAATCTGATTGGTATGTGGGAGATTGAAAAGACAGCCTTTCAGAAAGCAAAATTAGAAAAAACTCTTCACACATTAGGTGTATGTTCCTCCCATTATGCTTATGATCAAAATCAACTACATGAGAAGCACATCAAAAAACAACGATCAATCCAAAGTAGTCTCATTTACCAACGGCGATGCCTTTTTTGCAATAAGTATAAAACATTTTTCAGCCGTGGGAAATCATGTGCCCAGCATGCTGTTCACATTGTTGGAAAGCACATACAAGTTCCATGTACGGGCCTCAAATCCTGCCATGTTTTTAGTATGAGAGGCCTTCCAGAAACTATTCTACATCAACCAAATACAGAGGGGCGACCACGGTTTGTGTGCTCACAATGTTTCACAATGCAAGGTGGACACTTTTATAAAAAGGTTGGTAGTGGAAATCAATGTGAGAACCCATGTAAAGACAAGCACAATAATGATACTACAGACACACTCCAGCTTTTCAGCAGATGGATCATGTATGTTTCAACAACTGCTAATGAAGAAAGAAAAAACATCTTATTAAGATGGTTGTCCTCAATTCTCATTATGTTCAATAAATCAGCGGTCCCACCAATAGGTTATGCTAATCCATTTATAGTCAAGGCTGCACTGAAGATAGGACATGTTGACACTGATAGTTTTACAACTGGGCTATACAACTTCACACCTGATGAATCAGCTAAAATGGGGAAAGCACTTGGAGCGGCCATATGGAATTCTCGGTCATGCATACGTCATAATAAGAAAAAACTTGAATCACCGGCATCGCTTCAAGAATATGAAAGTGGATTTCCACCTTTTATCTCATCATTCTTTAATTCTCTAATAATTACCCTGCAAAAGAAAAAATATAAGATCGTATGCAAAAAAAGAGCAGAACGACAAAGTTTGGTACCAGCATTTGATAAAGATCATGCACAAAAAATTGCAATATTCCTTATCTCAATCATACTAAACATTACGTCTCCATCAACCAATGTCTGGCTGACACATATACTGAGTTCATTATGTAGAAAGCCAAAACTGCAATCAACACTTTATGGGATTTTACTTACAGCAAATGTCATATCACATACTCAAAGACATGAAAGACATTTAGAAAAAGATCGGATGAGTGCAATTGTTCCAGAAGGAAAACTCTGGACTGGCCCGAACATTTGGACAGTTTGCATTCTCGATAACTTTGACTTAATGGAACAGACATTCGCTTTTGGAAACATATTTGATGAATCTCGAAACACATTTCATGTAACAATAAGGGCTGCATGCCAATTCAAGTTGCCAAGACCTATTGATGAAATATTGTCAGAAGTAGACTCCCGAGATATAAGTAATGATGATGAATCTATTGTCAATAGTCTATTTGGAGAATCAGAGTTCACAGAACAGTGGTTTGAGACCTGTACAGATGTCTTTCGTAAACTTCTGGAAACTGCATGCACAGATTATGAAGCGCATGACATACTCGACATTATTCGAGAGAAGGTACCTATTGGATGTCAAGTACCGCCAGCTAACTTTGTAATTCTTAAGCCTGGGGAGAATCCAAACTGTAATACAAATGTTCATAATGCATGTGCGATGTACTTTGAAGATGTTGGAGTAGGAAATAATGGATATATAGATGTTGCTTGTGATGAAGCAATCTTCAAGCGATTGGTTTCATTTAAAGAGAACAATAGAGAGGTGCGATTATTCCTTGGTCAATGGCACACCTCGAAAGCTATGTGTAGTGCTATTATAACGACTTTTTCAGGGTACGGCATATATAATCTGGCTGCTCGACTTGGGGTTATTTATTTAGATAAGCTTGAAAAGGTGGTTGATTACTCAGCAACTTGTCGTGTGCTTGAGTTAATTTGGGTTGCAGTGGGGACTGCTATAACACAATATGTACAAAGCAAAGATAAATGCTTCAATGACATTGACAATGAAAACAATTATGTACTACGTGTTTGGTACTCTTACTTTCGTTGGTGTGCCTATTGGATAGGACATAAGATCGGTATTAGGCATGGGAACTTCAACATGCAATTTAAAAACCTTGCAGCCTTTTCCCCCCTGTTTGCAATTGCAGGGAAATATAACTATGCTAAATCATCTACTCATTTTCTGTACTATGTTAACAAAGACAATCACTTACAAGAGCTTCTGAAATATGCATGTTCGGTCAATCTTACTCATGCTGGCCATTATTTTGGTTTCGATGAGGCTTTAGAGCGGTTTGGTGTTAAATTCGTCAAGCAAAACCTTAACCATAGATGTATTAACAATGAAGATCTCAAACTGCAGATCTCATCTGTCCAAGCAGAGAGGGATCGGCTAAGCATGCTTATTTCTGAATATGTCGGAGATGCAATTATGATCAAAGAAGAAAGAGCAGTGAGATCGAGAAAAGAGGCATTATGGAAATTAGTCGCAGAGTTATTAGATGCATTCAGTCAATCAGATCCAACAAAACATGTCCTCTTCAAAAATGCAAAGGAAATGAATGATTCTGGCTTTCGAATGTTATTTACCTGTTATGACGCTGGAGTACCGCGTTTGCAGGCATTATTACGACAAGACATTTTAAAAACCGAAACATGCTGTGTAAAAGGCCGCAGAGCGAAAAATATCGTCTCTCACAAATTGGAAAATCTTATGGGCGAGAGATCAGTTAAACGTAAAAGGGTATATCCATTCGCCACGGAAGAAGTAGAAGAACGTGTAGTTATACGCAAAACTGAAGCATCACCTGAAATCATAACTCGTATGAGACAGCAACAGCGACGAGCAACGAATGAAAGGGCAAAGAATATCCTCAGATCAATTCTAGCAGATCACCCATTTCCACGCACAAGGGTTCCATATATTCTGCAGCAACTCCGAGATGAGGGAGAAGAATGGACTGAGAAGCGTATACAGATATATTGGAAAAATCATAATTATAGAAAAAAGAATGCTCATCAATCGTCCAGTGACAGTACTCTGGTTTGACGGGCGGTGGGACGGAAAAATAATATTCAATCTGTACCTGTGTGTGGTAGTAGTGAGTGGGATGGAAGGGGGACGTATAAAATCTGCACCTGCGTGCGGTGATGTGCTTTCCGATCATCTGTAAACCAGTTGAGTTTTCAGTTAGTCAATATTACATAAAAACGTGTGCAGATTGTCATTAGCATTGCACTTTGTTAAAGCTTCTAACGGTAACGACAGATTTATATATGATAGCTTTCCTTTTCATAATATGTTTGGGTTTATTCATTGGCACTATATTCAAATAAAGCGGTATCTATGAGAAAAATCTCTTTTCCTGAAAGTATCTTGCAAATAATTGTTGAACTTATACAAACATTGTCAATAATGTATTTTCGTTGTTTTGTGGTTTACCTGCAATCAAAACATGACTAACAAGTACGGGAGAAGCGTAATCAACTATCTGATCATTTACACTGACTTGACGAGTTGGCACTGTTAATTTTCCGTAATGTTCGGTAAAATACACAAAAAATTCTGATGGCTGGATTTTGTACTACGTAGCAGTTCATTGGACATTTCCCCTGACCGATAGTATTAAATTTATTAAATCTGCTTGATGTCACCACACATTTCTAAAGCCATCAACTTCTTCCCTCAATTTCCACCAATATATCGTTCTCCTTATCAGTTTCATCAATATTAACATCATTCAATCTCTCACTATCGAATATTAAATCATCCTCCAATCCCACAACATTTAAATGCGCCTCTAATAAGTTCACCATCGATTTCATCCCACGCCTTTTTCGCCCGTATGAAGCTTGAGAAGATGTGGCGATGCTCCTATTAACAAATCTCTCTTGGGTTTCCAATCACACACCTGCTTCCTTTGAATGTTAAATTTCTCCGCAGTCTTCTTTACAGAATGACCATGCTCATGGTAACAAACAACCATTAGTTTTTCTCGAGCACACCATGAGCGACGCTGCTTAGATGTAATACGCGCTTTACGAACAGTTTTCCCCATATTAACAAGCAAAATTGCAAAATTTTTATTATGAGCATGCAGATTCCTTTTTAAAGTATGTACAACAGAGCGCGCCAATAAAAGACAATTTACATAGTCCTATCATAATATAATACACTATCCGATCAAAGTACCACCCCGTGTATAGTACCCCATGGTATAACGTGGTTTTGTAAAATACCACTGGTACTTTAGACCGTGAAATACGGTAATTATCATGGTATACCAGATACACAAATAACGATGACTATTACTAGACAGACGTATCTACATCAACTAAACTCAATGGTACAGTGGCAGTGGCCGAAACCCACCGACGACGAAGCAACACGTTGCGTTCGAGAGGGCCGTACGGGGGACCTGCCGAGAGGAGATAACAGCAGACAGCTCTCAGTCTCTGGCAACAGATTATTAATAATGAGCTACACAAAGGATGACATGCCTGTGTTAGTGGCGCCAGAGATGACGACTCGTTCCATGAATAGAACATTTCCTAGAAACCTCCCCACGCGAACGTCTTGGGGATTTTTGACATCAAAGTAATGTCAAAAGTGTTGACGAAGATGACGATAACGTCTACTACACGGTTGACGAAGATGACGACAACGCCTATTACACGGTCGTCAAAGTGTTGACGAAGATGACGATAACGTCTACTACACGGTTGTCGAAGACGACAACGCCTATTACACGGTCATCAAAGTGTTGACGAAGATGACGACAACGTCTATTACACGGTCGTCAAAGAAATCCTGGATGCATTTAAAGTCGTTATCGATTTTGGTCAGACTTTACTTATCGAAACTCGTATAGTACAAGTGTAAATCAGTTGGATGGTATAACCTATGCCATCCAATGCAAGGACCATGAAAATACACTTGGTAATTATAATAATAAAATTTTTTTATAAAAGAATTGACACTATATTAATATAATACTGCATTTTTAGGAACATGCTACGTCCGGGAATTAAAGGGGGTACTTCCCGATTGCTCACCAGGTACTGTAGGTATCTTGGTGGGTAATCAGATTGTCGAGGTACGACAGCATCCTCATTAATAAGGAAGATATTAATATATGGAGAGATATCGACCTCGACGAATAACCAAAACTTTTGGGTGGTGTGGGAAATTTTGAAAGTTTTAATGTTATCTTATATTTGCTTCAAAATGCATGTTATGGGAGGGATTTACCGCTATTACTATAGTGGTATTATGGCGAAGCTAAAGTTTTGCTTAGACAACTTTTTATTACCCATGTAAATTTTCATGATATATATTTTAATTTACCATAAATATTATCTATGACAACGTATTTTTGCCCACACTGTAATACAGTCCAATTCTTAAAATTGAATCCGACGAATAAATTAGCCCGGGTGACACGCCATTGTCGTACCATCTCCAAGAGATCAGGCTGATGACCATAAGTATTTACACTGCCTAATCGATAAGCAAAGTATGGCACGAAGAAGCATATCAAACGTTTGTTAATACCTATTATTAATAAGGGAAAGTTTCGCAATATGGAATAATTTTCAATTACAGAATATAGCTATGGTGCAAACGGCTTAGTTGCATCAAGCATTTTCCAACAACTTTAAAGTGTAAAGGAATTTTATTTGATCATTTAAACATTAAAAGAATACGTAGTTTAATAGCTCTCGATATAGTCTGTAATGTTATGTATTCTTTTCATTCATTTTATTATAAAAATCTGTTACAGTTAGTATTAGATTTTGTTTAATGTTAATTTAATATTAATAGCAACAGCGAGATTTTCAGCGCCGCCTTAATATATGATTGATGGATACAAACCACGTGACTAAACATAATTCCTTATTCCAAAAACGGTTGCAGGGAACATATCGCTTAACTGCAAAAACAGCTGCCTTACCTGAAAGTCCAAGTTGTTCTAGCATATTTAGTTCCATTCTATCTACAAATTCATCAAATTCATCACGTATCCTCACCCTTTATCCAAAAAGTGTGTGTTGGCATTGCTTCGGAATATTTTGTTCGCTTCCAACGTTTGTTGATGGCATCTCGAGATTGTCTAGTGCGTTTATTTGATTTTGGCATAATTCTGTTAATGTTAATCACGACATGGCATAAAATGTCGCAGCTTCAATAATGAAAACGTTAGCTTTTGGCCAATAAAATCGCACAATTTTATTATGGTATAAATTTCAGCGTTTCTCAAACATTTTGATGCGACTAAGCCGTTTGCACTATACTCTGCTATTCTTTGATCAATATTTTTGCCATCGGTAAGCCTTCAACTTTTTTTACAGAAAATGTGGTACGGCTGTCTAGTTCAAATTATGTGCAGACAATTTGACGTCCTATAGACAATGTTAATAATGATTACAGTTTATTGTTACAATTAGAGCATGTGTGTGCGCAACAGATACCCAAATACGCAACTAACATATTCAACACTTCCTCAATAAGATGATGACTCCATTGTTTACATTCCATCATCTTCAACAAACATGGATTTTGAAAGTTGAATAATAAACCAGTAATTTTACAAATATTATCATAGGATATAAATTCTGTAATTTAGTTTTAATATGAAAACTATTAAACTGATAATCTCGTTAGTTTTGAGTGAAAAAATTGGGATAACTTTCAATAACAAAGTCATTACGATAGTTAATGTTGAGAAGTATTGCTGGTCCGGTTATCCCAAAACTAACACCGTTGTTGCCATTCCCATCATCCCCAATATACATAACAGCATGATCATATGGGGGTACGCCATATAAAACAACGCCCCCAGGTTGAGCATCGGTGAGCGAAACCGTTATTCCATTGGTGCCCATTGATCCCGTATAACCAGCACTCCAATTTTCTCCATTCAGATAGTCTGGACCCAGTCCGAAGGCACTCCAATACAACCAAGTAACGAAGGAGCTGCAATCTGCGTAAGCTGGCACATCCGTAAAGGGACATGTATGATTATCAATTCCGGACCAGCGCGTTGGGATATCCTGAGTATACTGAATAGTTTTTTGGCTTTGAACTGTCCACAGAGCAGCTGCTTTGAGACCATCACGGGTTGCAGTCACGGCTCCACATTCTCTAGTATCACTGTATGCAAATGGCAGCAGCAGGAGAATAGTAATTAGAATTGACTTCATCTTTTACTTATGTCTTGGCTGGGTCAAACAGCGCGCGTATTTATTAACTATGGTGATGAGATTCTATTCGTCAGCACTCAGAACAATCGTATGGTCGTATGATCGTATGCATGCAGTTTGATGCACAGACTTAACCTGATATATCAATGATATATTTTCATTCGCGTTTACGCCTAATTTTCGGTGTCGTTTGTAGACCTTCTTATGGTGTGGAAAACCTTAGCTTTCTAAATTAATATTTGCACTAACCTTTTCTGGATAAGCTTCATGACAATTCTATGCGAACAAATGCGCTGCACGCAGTCATAATTCTTCTCCGACAGTAAAACAATAAGTAAGAAATGAATTGAAACGGATATCTAATAATACTCTATGACGATAGTCGAAAAGAATTAACATACATGGATTAACGACCTGTTATGACAAATTAATATCAAGTCAACTGCTTCTTGCTATTATTTTTTGTAAAGCGCTTCTGCGGATTATTTACCCTTAAAGACTATCCAATTATGACAATAATTTCAAGGCAAGAGATTTGATCGACATTTTATATAGTAGTACTGCATATTCGCACTAATTCGGAAAGCGATTGCATTAATATTAAAGGGTAAATCACTGCTAAATGCGCCAACAGCTCGAGGGAATACCAACGTAGAGAAAAAATAAAGGTTGCAAATAAAATGGTGAAACTGTTTACAACTTTCATTGTAATTATTGAATTAGTGCTTTGGCTAGGTCGAAGCTCTTCGTTACGGAATTTACTGTCCTAAAAGGTTTAGTATTAGAGAAGAGTATCAAATGAAGGAAAGACAGGCGAAAATTATAAATACCGTTATTTCTCGCTTCAGAAGCTGTATGTTATTTTGATTACAAGATGTGATAATTTATATCGCCTAAAAGTGTAATTGAATAAATACATAATCAACCGCTGCACATCGTAGAGGCGGACGTTGATGCAGCCAGACGACGGCTACGCAACTATGAAAATAACTAACCTGGGATGCCTTTGTCTTTGAGGCTGATTTGTGATACCCTCAATATTAAACCTCAATAAGGTAGTTTATATTACTGACGGCAAAAATAGCAACATTATAAAAGAGTGGACAATCAATTTTCCGTCCACGTTTCTGCTGCGTAGAGAAATCATAAAATAATTTGCCGTACAACGCCATAATCTTATGAAAACCGGTTCCAGCTCATTTATGTTTCGTTGTTCATGAAAACTTATTGAATAATTATTTTTGAATTGAAAGAATATTTTCCATAGTTATAATCCGCAAAACGATCCCGCCGTACGAATGGTACAACTGCATAAGGCAATGTCGAAAATTTCGTAAATCAACAACGCCGAAGAATTAGTCAACAAATTGAAAGACCTCAAAGCACGGGAGGGATCATGCACGAAATCGAATCCAGAAATTAGGATTTAATAAAGAACGACATTAGCGAAAATTACGTAATCTAATAACTACTGGAGGGAGAAATTGACTTGCTTGTCTTATTTAACGTTGTAAATTTTTCATCTCTGGCATCAAAGGCCATTTATTACATTATTGCTGTAAACGGTTTAATAAATTTCCAATGCTATTATCTTCTTCAGTCTCAATTGTTTTTTGAACTACACGACAAACTTGTTATCTTTATATTCGAATAATTATTGTTTTTTACCACGGTATGATATTCAGTTGTAATATTTAAGTTAATTTCATAGCCAATTTATGCTGCAAATTTTGATTACATATAAAAGGCAAACTGAACGCCCTTTACTTATACAGTCGTACCCCTCTATAGTCACGCTGTCGGGAACAATGCAACTTTTGCTGGAAGTGTGCTTATAAAGAGGTTGTGACTATATAGGTGTCCGTATTATTTCACCGACACCGACAATTAACTATCAAAAAAGGATAACTTAATAATGTTGGTGAAGATTTATCGGTTGATGAAATGATTGCCTCCCCTATATAGAGGTTTTTTCTATAAGTTTAATAGTAATTGGTTCTCAACATGGTGTGCTTATAGAGGGGGTGACTATAGAGGGGTACGACTGTATCAAATTACAAGAAGTATTTTACACAAATATACATTATAATTGATGCCTTGATTGTGACCCTATCATAGATTCTACGACCCTGCATTAGCCATTGCTGTTGGCACAGAATCAAGGTCGCATGATGCAAAGTATTGCGAAAAGAGGGAAAATGTTCGGAGACAATGATAGGAGTCGCTTCGATATTGTTACCAAAAAAACAAGCTATCAGCCGTGACGGTACATGCCATTATCAATTGCTAGTGTAAAACTCGGGTCTTTTTTGCATTTGTATATTTAATCAATAGCATTTATATTTTGTAACAAATTGTAAAATAATTATCATCTACAATAAATCAAATCTATGTTTTAGCAACTTGACTTATGTGAGAGAAGCGTATCGCTTTTCTGCAGTATTATTTGTGAACAATAACATTGTTAGCTCGGTCACAATTTCTAATTTATATAAAAGTTATAGATAATTTTTACAAAAATTAATACATAGATAAACTCGGCAACTCGGACGCTCGATAAGTCGGTTTTGGCAGCCCCTTTGAATAATTTAAAAGTCTTGATAATTTGGACGATATCATATAATCGCAATACGATAAGCCGGACACGTGATATTGAGAGATAGTCTTTACATAAAATATTAGTTACTGTATCTAATAATTTCTGATAGTAAACAATATTGTATTATATTGCATTCATGTTATAATTTGAATCAAAAGGTTGACTTCTGAATCCCTAATAAATACAAAATACATTGGATAGCATTCAAAATATATTTAATTGGCATAATGCCAATACTCTACATGTTTACAATAGTGCATGTACGAGCACTAAATAATATCTTCGGGTATATATGGCTTTTGAGCGATACATAAACAAATATTTTCTGGAGTCAATATCTCTGGATAATCTGCAGTTAGCTATTTGAGTAGCAAATGCAGTTTCTTAAAATAATAGCAATTTTAAGCGCGCAACAAACGCTTAAAATTGGTCCGTCAACCATCCGTTTTAAGTATCACTTTTGTCCACTCTTTATTATCAGTTCTTAACCAACCTGCTATAAGTGTGCATTGCGTAATAATTTTATCTCCTTGTCAATAATGGATATTCGACCCATTCTACATACTCATTATGCGCATAGTCGTCCGAGCTCGTCGATATAGTGTACAATGGACTCTTCATAAATGCAGCACTAACGGGACTATATGGCAAATTAGACACAACCTGCATTTATAGAAAATCTGTATTTATAGAGAGTGAAATACTTAATGGTCCAGAGCCTGCATTTAGGGAGGGAAAATATAGTGCCTGCACTTAGAGAAGCTGCACTTAGGGAGAGTCCACTGTACTTTGGCAATCGGGGTGTACTTTCAAGGGACACTGTATAATACTTGGTTGTAGAGTACATAGTCTCCTTGGCTAATGCATTGTCGCTTGCACAGCATCATAATACGCCACAAACAGAATCCTGGTTATAACTGCCGTATCACAGGCCTCATACCCCGGTCTAAATTGTTACATCGGTTAATGTTGCAAAATGGCCACTATCACTATGTAAACTGGTTTAAATTTCATAAGAGTTTTTTCGCGATAATTACATTTGCTCTTTTAAATGGCAAACTTTGAAAAAGAAAAAGTGAGCGTTGAGTGAGAGTTACTTTTTACTTTAAATATGACTGTGCAAATCTGTGGTGGTGGAGGTGGTAGTAGTGGTAGTAGTAGTGGTGGTGGTAGTAGTAGTAGTAGTAGTAGTAGTAGTAGTAGTAGTAGTAGTAGTAGTAGTACGTATAGATTACTATAACAATTAGACAGATTATATACCGTTTATAATCATTCCTATTAAGAAGTATTGCCAAATTCAAAATGTACACAGCCGTCGGATAATCGGCATCAGTAGAGCCTGCTTTGTTGCCTGATTACAGTCTAGAAATACACATAATATGGATATTCGCACACAGTCAATATAGACAGACATGGAAATTACAATCGCTGATAAAACTTTCTTAGAGTGTGCGGGGAAGAATCTGTTGCGAGCACACTACATGTTGTACCCAAGTTTGGTTACCACTCCTTACTGCAGGAAACACAACGTACGTGGTGAATCACTACATGATATGGTTAATAGAACAGTTAAAAATGGTAGACAGTATAAATTTCATGTCGTGCAATTCTACAGCTCCCTGTAGTTTCAAGATGAGGGGCCTCCACTTGCTGCATGAACACTTGTCATAGCATTAAAATAAGATAGTCTATATACTGTATAATTTATAGTGTGTAATGTTCTGTTCGAAGTACAAGCGATACAGTGTCGCAGATGACAGTTGTCACGAATAACCCAGATCAAATAGTCGCGTTTACTTTACCTAGTCATGGAACAAACCCCGATAATATCTTTTCTGTGCTTTCTGATAAAGTTAAAGGCTTCAATCGGTAAACCCTCCAAATCGCTGGAAATAAACTTTCATTTAGCGTGCTATTCCTCAGTTCGACAAATTGATACAAGTGCATTTTGTGGGGTCACCGTGTAACCGAATGTAGATCACGAATAGACTAGACAACGGCAACAAAGAGAATTAACAGGCAAAGAAAGCCTCCCCCTCCCAACCTTTTTTCTGTGGGCGTTTTCGACTCGCTTGATCAAATAGTCGAATAAATGATATCGTGTTTAAATCTACGGAAAGAAATCAGTTTTTTGAAATGATGTTGAAGAATGTAAATGGAATGCCATGACCACGTGTAGCATGACATCATACGCTATTTGACGAAAATGAAAAACTGGTCTTTTTTATTTTTAATATGAATTCCGTATTAAGGTTTTGAAAAATTTGGTGATCTCATTAATAATATGAATGGTGGTAAATGTCACCGCACTCACGCACACAAGCTCTGTGTGGTGCCATTGGTGTTTTCTTTGTTTGTTCATCGCCGTCTGATAATTGGTAGGCAGACAGACAAGGGACAAGTAAAGTTTCCACCAAGCCTTTCTCGATCATTCAGTTGATTTACTATGAGCCACAGCATGTAATTGGCACTGCCATACATTATGCTTTAACAGTTAATGTTTGACCGCATTCCATTAAAGGACAAAATAACCGAAAATGAGCATAACAAATCTATCAACTGAATTATAGTTAATCATTGCAACACATGATGTTGTTACAATAAATTATTTCATTGTATCAGTTAATGTAAACAGACTGATAACCGCATTCCATGTAGCAGCAGACAAGCAGGCAGGCAGAGGAAGGCAGACAAACAGACAAGAAAATCAAATCTTTTTTCCAATCAATATATATTTATTCAAATAAATCCTAACTAAAACTAACATGAGTGCTTGCCACTCCAATATTTCGAATGCGGAACTACCGCTTATATGATGCAATATGGTAAAAATACTACAATGTTAATGTTCAAGACAGAATGTCTATGTTCTATAAAATGCGCGAATATACAAAATACACATATATGCCCAACGAGGTACTGTAGATATCAGGCTTTTTTTTTTTTTTTGAAGTAGAAAAAATCGACAAGGGCTTAAAAATCAAGCCATTCCAAACATCTTCTTAACGTCGGCGAACCATCCTTCTTCTTTTTTCACTTCCACTTTCTGTTCAATCTTTGCTTCACCGCTCTTCTCCTCTTGCAACTGTTCGATGGCATCCTTAATATCTTCTTCTGAGATAAAATCTCCAAAAAAGCAGCTGAAACTCTCTGGAATGTATATTTCATCGTCGGCATGTTTAAAGAAATCGCCGTCCGTATTGTTGGGCTCGTTGAGAGTTTTGAGAGTAGAGTATACGAGTGGTTTATATGATTGTGCCATTTTTATGTGGAGATGTGGATGTGTGGGTGATTGATTGCTTTGTGTGCGGAGGAGAAGTTATAAGTATGGCGGTTGGTATTGGTAGTAGTGATAGGTAGTGGTAGGTAGTGGTTGGTAGTGTTGGTAGTGTTGGTAGTGTTGGTAGTGTTGGTAGTGTGAGATATATGAAGAGGGATGTTATTTACAACTTCTAAATCTGCCCCCTCCACGGACCTAAACACACACTATTTATATGTTTTGACCTCAGGGTTCAATTCGCCGTTCGTGTCACACATATCAAACATGCCTTCCACCATTTCGTACAACCGGAGTCATTGGTCCGAAACAGGTTTCTGCACACACATGCACGCCTCTGTGGTAGAACAATTGAGGTGTGCACATCTATAGAAGTTGTTATCATCGGCCGTGGGTACGGTGTAATTTGTATGGACTGAAATTTGGAAATCGAAATACAACGTTGTGCAATCGACCAATGGATGAAAACGCCATCACACAATAATTGTTCTACCAACAAAACTTGTTTGAGTTCTGAGTGCCCAAACTACAAACTGGGAGATTATTAAGCAATCCATCATATATACTATCGCTGTATTATAACATAACTAGTACGCAAGCATGTGTAATTTAATTTATTTGTTTATATTTATTCAACTCGACAACAACAACCTTCCCATTTGACCAATGGTTCGAAAATTTCATTACTATCATTGGTTGTTTTGTTAATCTTCCCCAAAGCAAGCTAATATCAAAGTCCAGACAATCGAGAATGATACCGACCTGCTGTCACTTGGGGGAGAATATGGTTTCATTTTTTCAGTTTCATCGACAAGGTATTGTTGAATCCAAGGAGAAATTGACCCAAACGATAAAGACATCTAAAAATAGCAGAAACCTTCTCTTTTTTTTTTCCGGTCCAGGGGGATTGTTATCGTTATCAAGCAGGAAGAACAAGCGAAGTGGGGGGTGGCATTGATTCCCAACAAAAGCAAGAGAACAAAGGAGTACAGATGATATCATGTTGCACCGTGAAATGAACAGGTGATCATCCAACGCCCTGTGTCAGTCAAGAAAGACTATATCACCCATGCTTGACACATATGCAATTCAAATTTCCAAAAATAGTCAGCGGGTATCAATAGATCTACTTATCGTTATGCTGACCAAAGGTCTGGTTATCCATCTGTAGAATGTAACCATAACAAACCGTCAGTTGGTTTGCTGAAAGTTTCGAAACATGATTCTGAAATCGTTTCTCAAAGAAAAAGGACTCTTTATTTCTTTTTCCTTTTCCCGCGGATGGAAAAGAAAAAAGGACACTGTCATTATTGCGTCCAAAGAGTCTTGCGCATACAGTGAATCTGCATATGTGGCTGAGTCCATTGCATTACACAAGGAGTTAGTTCAGTGAAACCATAAACTTTGTAAACTTTGTAAAAGATAGAGTTTTGAAAACGTTTGAGCGCAACCACACGGTTTCCTCATACGGCATCATTTATTGCGACTTCCTAGCAGTCAATAGATTATCATTGTTTACAAGGCCTTTATTTTTAAACGGAAGAATACTGTCGTCGAAAATAAGATTATGAGTAGTGCTGGTGTTCTATTTTCGTTTATTCAGACACAGACTTTCCAAAGACGTACTTTGTACGTGGCTGAATAACACTAGTTTTAGGGATACTTAATTGTTTGTACGAGGTTGAGCAGGTTTTTTTTTATTTTCCATTGTAAAGTAGGTTTTGGTGTTGCTAAACTAAGTAAAAATATTTCTTGACAATCTACTCCGATCAAAATTTCCCACACTGTTAATATTGTCATTTCAGGAAGATAATGGTTTTTTTCTCTCTTTCGCATTCCCTGCTATCTGATATTACTAGCCGATGATATCATCATCCTTAAAATTACAATAAATTCCCGAATTTGGGTTGAATGTCCATGCGATATCAATAGTAACGATCTGTAAAATCTGAATCGCAATCTGTTGTATCCTCATCTCCTTCTTCTATTCTCTCTCTAGCCTGGCGTTGTAGTGGACTTGTCCGGAGACCCAATAGTCACTGTCATTGTCAATGCAATTACTTGGCATAATAATGGCGCCAACCTACGCCCCAATTGGTATTGTCTGCAGCGGTGACATTATTCCGATAGCGATAGCATGCTTTCGTTATATTTAGTAATCGCAATGCGAATCAATTACTATAATATTGATAACAAATGCTCATAGTATAGTTAAAAACTATTAATAGCGCTAACATTAATTTGGGTTGCATGTATCTTATTGGCTGATTGCATCTTAGTATTGTCTGGAAAAGATTATTACGCGGTCCAGACGTTTTTTACATGGGTCATCCACCCCATCTTATTGGATTGTTGGTATTGTACTATACACGCTTCCTTTTCTTGCATACCCCCATAATACTGTGAACCGACGAAGGAAAAAAAAACACCGTCAGTGTTTATACCTACATACTGATGGTAACCTTACCAATTCCCAGAGATATTCGTTGCTAATTAAATGAGCTTTGCTTCTTCTTTTTTTTTTTTTTTTATGACCATTTAATATGGCTATTAGACAAGACTCTTGAAAGCTCCATACCCCCCAAAAGAATCCCGGCCATCAAAGCTGTATGTATTATTTACATTATCAGGCACCAATTTATTACAGAGTTTTTTCCTATAATCCAACAGCAAGTACACTGAAAACTGACAATGTCGTTGGATGTTTAATGTCTTTCTTCTTTAGATAACCAACTATCACTTCGTTTAATCTCACGAATTGCCTTGGCGATGTTAGTTTCCCGGTGAGTAAAAGATTGCTCTTACGACTATCGTCGGTCATTTTGGTGGGTCAATATGTAAGGGTCGCGTCAATGTATCAATAACCATTACTTTTGTAATTAAAACTGCTTGAATTGTTGCTTTCTCTACTCCGTAGCCGTTTGAATAGGATTATTAATCTTTTTTTGTGTCTACATAGCAGCTAGAGTTGGACTTTTTTGTCAGCCAGAGTTGGACTTTTTTGTCAGTATTGCTTTTGCGTATACTGTATTGATTAACTAATAGAATATGTTAATAGTTGACTTGAAAAGAGAAACTTGGGATATTAAAGCTGTCTTTTATTATACAGTTAACCTAAGAAAATTATTCGGACGAATTGTAGGATATGAGAAAAAGAGTCTAGGATGTGATATTCAGTGTGTCACAAACCGTTCGTAACTAATGACCATTGTTTGTAAGTAAATTCCATTTGAAGCTAAAATGTTATAGTTAATTAATTAATATTATCAAGTAACTTTGTTCAATAATTGCTCCGCAATTCTTCACAACGGGATAGTATTCCATAAAAAGCTTGTTAACATTGCCCATTGCTTTGACTAATCAATAGCGTGGAGGAGCATTTTCTTTGAGAAACAATTTGGCAAGTCGGCTAGAATGGTTTAGGATTGATATCCTGTTGAGGCTCCCACAAAACCAGTACGTAATTTCCCCAAGTCACAGGCATAATAAGGGGCCTCGCCTCGCAAAGCGATTGATTTACCAACAACGATTCCAAAACGGTGCTTTGCAGCTCTATAAAGTTAAGAAAGAAAAATACTAAGTTGGAGGAGTTCTAACTAGTAGAGGTAACGAAAAGATATTAATCTCAATGATATTTCGAATAATTATAAAAATAGTATAAATTTCCGATAACACTTTCCTTGCACACAAGTTTGTAGAAACAATAATCTTTTCGTTGCCATGTGCGACCTCTTGAAATTTTGATAACAGCTGACGAAATTGTTTACAAATGTGGTATGTTAACATTGAATAATGTTTAGCGAATGCTTGGCAATATATATCCCTCTCTTTATCTTCCCTATACTTGATAATATTTTGCTGGCAGAGAATCCTAGCGATCGTATGGTGAGACTTTTCAATAAGATTCCAAAGCATAAAACAAAAAACAAATGTTTTTCACTTAACTTCGATCTTTCTAATCGAGGAAATATTGAAGGTTAGTCACTATTCAAAATGGTGTTGACGTTACATCTGCAATCGAAATCTTATAACTACATATTAATATCGACCTGTATCTAGATGCTAAGGGCGAGTCGAGTTTACTGTATATACTGGAATAAGACAGTGCATCATTTTTTTGATCCATTATTTTATTTGTTTTAAAACTTTCTTAACGCTGTTCAATTAATATTAATAGAGAAAGGTTAATATATCTTCTAGTCTACTTAGCTGACCGCCCCTCTGCAAGGAAAATTACGTATATATCCCGGTAATTATAAGCTACGTTTATGTCAATAATAATGAATGAATTGATCGCAATTTCTTTTTCGAAGATGCTGACTAACATACTTACTTGTCATGCAAATCTGGTCGTTGCATTAGGATCTTCCTACTTGCTTGCTAATGATATACCTTATTACTAACAAGTGTGGAGAGCATACGGTGGGGGAAAATTACTGAATATCATGCCTTTGACAAAGTAAACCATTTACGCCAACATTTTGTTTTATGCTGCTTTGGGGTTTCTGTAGTATTTCTAACATAATCTGCCATTACAGCAATCATGTCTTCAGAGCATTCGTAAGAGTAGGCTCGGTCACTATGAGCATAGTCTGGAAACATGCAAAGGCAGTCCGGAAACAATCAGTTTCAATATGTAAATTTGTCCGGTGAAAGAAAACTCTCCGCAGGTATTGTCAATATATCCGCTTTGCTCGTGGAATGTTGACCACCTTGGGGGAAATTATAATTTTTAATTTTTATGTTCTAGTATCCAGTTCCATTAAGAGTGCTGATTGTTATAATCCGTTAGCCATTTTATTGCCATAACATATGAGCTGATATAATAAGTAAGTAGTTCCTGAGTTTTTCTTTATTAGTTAATAAAGAACGCACATCCTTTCGTAGTCTCTTTGTTAACTCTTCGGTTTCATATCTCGTTTGTCAGAATACATCAAGTCGGGGGAAGCAGGTGTATTTATACTTGTTGCGAGAGCATCCGAAATATTGCGCCGCGGACTAGTAAATTGGACATGGATGAAAATATTCACGTTCCTTTTCCCCTTTATTGTTTATGCTGCGGACTTGCGCATGTAAATATTTATGCCATTCTTCCACAAAAATTGGGTTCTTTTTGCACGCGGACTTGCGCATGTAAACATTTACGCCCGTGTTTTGTGAGGGATGCACGCGTTATTCCCACCTCCTTGGTCGTAGAATTTTCTATTATTATTACGTATACTGATCTTCGATATGGCTTAAAATTTATTTTTTTTGCTGGCTATTTGGTTATTACTTATCGCTATATCAAAATTACTTTCTTGGTATTAGGTTTGGTAACCTGATTAGCGCGTCTGCCTGCTATTTAGTGTCTTCCTTTGCAGAAACCTTTTTACTCGTCCAGACATGTTTCATATTGCCGCTCATAATACTCCTGACGAACGACAAGGTAAAGACTGTTTGTATACTGAAACGAACAGTTTATTTAGGTTGTATCGCTGCCCATATACATATTGTTGTTATATCTGAAGTTTATTTATTAGGACAAACAATATTCCTGACAACATTGGATTGCATTCAAACTAATATCAAACTTACAGTATTTATTTCATTTATCCCAAGTCTTTTGGCTTTATTCTATCTATCAGATAACTACTGCGGACCATCGACATTGCTGAGTTTTTCGATAATTATTGACTACTGTTTTTCCTGCTTACAATGATGTTTTGAGTCATCCTATAATTCAATCGATGCGTGCTTAATCGTTGCGCAATTTTTTGTAAGGCTTACCTACTAATTACATTGTCGTATCTTTGGCGAGGCTCGTATAATCAGTTCATATTCATGTTATGCGCAAAATTCTTACTACAAGTTCTAGACAAAAAGTCTTAATGTGCAAGTATTATCAAAATTTGTGATCTATATCAGGCATATTCGAGTAGGGTACGTTTTTTACTATTTATTAATGTGAAAGAAAACTTAATCGAGCCATTAATATGGCTTGGGGTCGAGTAATCAAGTTTCGTTCTAGGTCAGTACTACCAAGTAATTATTCTGACATTTGCAAATTTCTACGTTTCACTCATGCTTATTCAATTAATATTAGGTATGAATAATCACATTCGACTACTTGATAACTTTTCTTGCAATGGCAGTACTGCCAAAAAGATAAAATGGTATATGTAACCTGAGAGAGCGTTGTGATCAATTTCTGACTGGGAGATATTCTCTAAATACGGCCTTGCTAACGTGCCACTTTAATTAAGGCGTTGGGTTAATGTCTAGTTACGTATTAGTATATATTTTTTATCATTGGATTTCGACAATGGAGTCGATGATCTCAGATCCAAATTCGGACAGAGATACCGATACACCTGCCCCTGTACAATTACGATTTACTTTTTAATCATGGACTTGCCCGACAAACAACGACGCTTTTTTTTTTTTTCAAACCGATCCCACCGGACCGATCTCCCTTTATCCTCCTTTGTCGATTTAAATGTATTCCTTAGCTCAGAGAGCCAATTCCGTCTTTGCGTTCTCGCTGACTGTTATATTTGTACTCCTTGGCGCAGTTGCTATTATAACACCTTTCCTTCCTTTCAATCCTACAACCGAGGTGCATGTTAGAGACATAGCAGTATGGACATATGATTATGGTGGAAGCATAAGCGAGATTGCTTTTGTTACCATGGACTTGGAGGCTGGTATGTGTTCGAACGGAAGGTATCATCAGGCAGAGACGTGGTCAGGAGGAGAATATCGTAGAGAGTAAGCTCATGAACGATGTGAATATTCATTCATTTCTCATGTGCGACGTTATCTGTAGATTTGACGTCCCTATTTAATTGGAACACCAAGCAGCTCTATGTCTCAATCGTTGCTGAATATGAATCTGATACATATGTTAGTCCTGACCTTTTTACTTGTGCCGTCGGTTAGATATTTATTATCTGTATCATTAATGTGCAACTTTTTTTTTTTTACCGTTGGCAGAATGTGAATCAGATAATCCTCTGGGATGACATTATTAGATCAAAAAGAGACGCTAGGATAGTTTTACATCAGCTCAAGAACAAGTATATATTTAATGACATTAATCCAAGTTTCAGGTAAATATCCGCTGCTCTGATTACCTTTCATATGATGACTACAAGACAACAAAGTTTATCGGGAGCTTGCTTGTTACTCCGCACACTAAGAGCTACATGGTCATATCCATGGATACTTTGCCTATTATTAAATTTTCTCCCGACCTTTTGTTTACTTTTTAGAGAGATCAATGCAACATATGCATTGCACTGGGACGCGATGCCTTATGCTGGATTACTACAATCTGGGCGATCCAAATCTATCAAACGTGTAAAGTTCCCAAAGCCAGAAAATATGGCTTCATGATAGCTCGAAAATAGCTAAACTAGAAAGAATGGATAATCAGATAATAGGATATGGTTATAAAGAGATGGCGCCGAGAATACAAACAGGGAAAAGGATAATTGTTGCATTGAGATATAAAAATATCAAGTGGCGTCTTTTCCTCTGAGAATTTCAACTTCATTAATTCAATTTTGTCATAAAAACACATCTATACGCTTCAACACAGTAAAGTAGTTGTTATGAGGGTGAGAGGTGAGGGAGGGGGAGGGGAGGGGGTTCTTTGGGATAGAATTATCTCTCTTTTAACTACAATAGAAGATAAATAAAACTATCTTTACATCTAATACAAGCGAGGAAGAATTATTAAATACCAGCATATATTAATATTAAAAATAGCAGACGTATAGATAATGTTTTGGTATGTATAAGTGTCCGTCTTTATCTTGAAGAGTTTTCTGCAAGTGTTAGCGATAACGGTCCTCTTAAATGAAAGAAATTGTTGTTGTTAGTAACGGATTAACGATTAGAGCGATCAACGTGGCAAATGACAAGAATCCTTGATTATTGCCATAAATTTCAACCAAAAACTGCTTATACCCTCATTTCTAAGTAAATTTTTTAAGTGTAATTAATCGTCAAACGGGAAGCTTGGATAATGTTAATCTATCAACAACCTACGGGGACAAAGTTAATCGGGTTAATTCGAAAAACTTTTAAATGAAATTCTCGCCAATAAATACACTTACGTGAGAAATGCCTGGCAAAACATTCAGTAAATCACCGATAACGGGCAATCGACGTAAAAAGCTAATTACGACTGGGAAAAAATCACTGAAAGAAATATGACCCACAGTTTTTTTCGAGTTGAGCAAATAGTAATCATAATAACCACCAAAACACACATCGAAACGCCCTTGATATATCTTTCGACTCACCCAAACAGATTCAAGAAACCAAATAGTTCGACTATCATGCCAAGAATAGGCCATTTGAAAAAAACAAGCAGAATTCCGCCAAGGAAACATATGGTGCCGCGAAGTTTCTCCTTCCGTGCAAAGAAAACAAGTGTCTTCTGAAACCCAATAATGAAAGTCACTCCCGCAAGAAACAGCAGCTGACGGGTTAGAGAATGGTGATGAGGCAAAAACATACGGATATAAGATACGGTAGAATGACAGTTAGTTCGTGAGCCAATTGATGAAATATTATAAATTCCAAGGTTATGCTTACGTTTCCTATTGCGAGTAGGCCTCCATCGAAGAATAGTAAAACACCAAGAAACATAAAAAACACTCCAAAGGCAGTTAACCCAACACCAATCTCTAACAGAATGAATATAATTGTTTAGCCAATTATGAATATACTTGAACCATTCGAGTCATCACTAACACCGAGTTTCCTGATCACTTTCCTCTCTCGAATAACCACTCGGTATACATACTTTGTGTGTCCGACAGCCACATCTCTTTCCACTTTAATTTTAGATTCTCAAATAAATACTGTGTAATATATTGTCTAGTATGCCCTTCTTCGCTATGATAGAGGAATTATGTCAAAGCGAAGGTCAGAGTACGTTCAGCTTTGGGTTTTGCCAATCATAAGTCAAGACACGTGGTAGAGCGTCTTTGGGCGCACATTATGAAAAAAATTGGTTTCCAGTCACACACAGCGTTATGTCACACCACGAAAAAAACGTAACCCAACATTTTATAAAAACTTTTTTTTTTTCCCCTCAACGAAAGAAAGTTCTGTCAACAGCCCAATGGTTGAGAACACTCCTTACATCGAGTCTTTTGGTCTTTTTGTTCACAACCAGTTGAACGAATTGCATAATGGGTCGTGATGTCTTTCCAGTATACTAAAACAAGAATTTTGACAAATGGGATACACAGCAGTTTTTTCGAGAATATGCGGCGTACTGACACAATATGCACAGATACTGTATATGGAAAAGTAAATATGGAATCTGTATCCAAAAGTGGGCAATCCCTTTTTTCAATGTTGAAATGGGTGGATATTAAAAATACATTTCCTAAATGGGATATGCAGCATAACGATAATACTGTAGATGAAACACCAGTTATCATAAAAGTTTTGTTGCTTCGAAGTAAATTACAAAACTTGCACATTCGCGTAATTGAAGTTATTGTGCAGACAATGTAGCTATTGTTGACTGTTACTTTTCATTTAACAACACAAATTTGGTTTATTTACTTATCGCGCCTTATTATTCATATGACTCGCAATAGTAAGTATTCTTATTTAGTATTCTCATAGATTATAATATACACATGTTACTATATAATCAACCATAATACCACGAAATATGTCACCTGAATTACAGTCCTAATAATATACAGTTATCCAATTATCCATTTAAAGTAAGAACGCTTAGATCATAACTTTTATACATTTCATCAGACGCCACACTCTTGCTTTTATCAGTACATACTCTAGTCTTTGTAACCTCGTCCGCATCCAGGAATATTCCGCCTACTGCGCTACCAACATTTGCGCAATCAATAGCGCTCTTTAGGCGAATATTTTCGTCATTTTTTCTTTTTCTATTTTCTCTCTCGTTTTTTATCGCTGAAACCCATTCGTGCAGAGTCTCGACTACTTCTTCAATGTCGGGTCTATTGTCGGGCTCATCGTCCCAACATTTTTTCATGAGCTTAACATAACACTCGGGAGTGTTGGGCACGACAGACGGACGCAGTCCCCTCTTGACATAATTGGCGAGATTGACCTTCTCAGAGGATTGCATATCCGAATACGGTTTATCACCAGATGTTATCTGCCACATTAGAATGCCAAGACTGAATATGTCTGATTTCTGGGTATATTCAGCCCCTCCAAGCACCTCGGGTGCCGTATATGGAACACATACATATTTACTATCATGTGCCTTGTTCAGAGGTCCGCATATGCCTAGGTCTGCAATAGTAGGATCGTTGCCTCTGTAGACTATATTGCTAGCGTGGAGACCACGATGAATCAGCCCAGCTGAATGCATTACTTTCAATCCACGAGCTATTTCGGTCAACATTAATAATTTAGGTTCCCAGGTGAGGGACGAAAAGTGAGTTGACAGGTAGCGCGAGAAATCACCACCACTTGCATATTGAATAACCAGCATGTATGACTTGGATTGTGGATTTTGGGTTATTCCATAAAGAGGGAGGATGTTATGACTATGTCTGCAAACCAGGTTAAGGCGCATCTGATTCGAAAGAAAAAAAAAGTCAATGAATATAATGAGCCAAAAAATAAATTGATAGATATATTAACGGTTCTATGTCTCTGTAATGCCATTCAAAGTCTCCTCCCCAAACAACACAGAGACAATATCAGTATTCAGTACTTCAACTTACTTCTTCAATGTAGGCTTTGATGTCAGAACCCTTGTTAGATTCCATTAGCACCTCCTTTAGCACAACTTTCCGATCTCCGTGTCTAACAAACTGCTGCGTCTTTTCATCCCACAATTGCCTCAATCCACCTTTCCATATCGCCGTGTATATTTTAGCAAAACTTCCCATCGTCAAATAGTTTACACCGGTAAACTGTTTATATGGTATCCATTCTATATATTCTGTTTTATCTTGAGCATTCAATTGAGTTTCTTTGATCAAGTCGTCTATGAGTTTGTTTCCACTGGTCCATTTGGTAAATTCGCTGCAAAAGATGATTTTTTGACAAGGTGGACACCAATTGCGATGAGTGTATTGTCGATGACATTTGCTACATTCACCGTAGGATGCTTTGTGTTTGGTTACGAGATTGTAAAGTAATCTGGACGCAGGCTTCTTACGGTTGTTGACGATAGGTTGGTCTTTGGTAATTGTGGTCATCGTCTACGGCAGGAGGGAGCAGGAGAAAGTTATGCGTAATGGAGTTGTACTAGTACGGATGAAGAATGGGTATTTATACCATGGGGGCATTTTGCAACAAAGTTGTTATAATTGTTGTCCGAATATTGTTTGTGTATAGTAGTAGGACGTATGATGATATACAGACAACAGCATATTCACGACATTGTTCTCACATCTTGGTAGTTGTAGCGTTTAACAATGCCTGTACACATATTAGACAAATACTCGGTTTCGTCCCCGTGTATAAATTTGCCATTTTTATTATTGATGGCGCGCATCGCAATGATTGACATGAATTGGTGTGTTCCTGATATGGAGTATGAGATTTCCAAGTACGGCTTAACCGTGCTGGTTCGCGCATTTGTGGGACGTTTGAGAGGGAAAAACTTAAAAATGAAGGCGCAAATCCGAATTGACAAACGTGCGAACGTAAAAAAAATGTAAAGATTATTTTAATGTTAACAATGACGGGTAAATTTGACTGTTTTTTAATATTGAGATTTTCTATTATATTTATATTATTTGGTTTTTATAGATTATTGTCGATAATGCACATATCTTTTCCGTCCATAATGGTCAGGACCCTATTCTTTTCTTTACACAACAGCTCTCCGCCTTCAATTAATCGACGCAGAAGGCTAGAAAACACTCCCTTGTTGCACGGCAGATCGACTGATACCCTGTGTACAACTGCCAATTGACGTATATACTCATTACGCAACACAAACATTAATAGAGAGAACCAATTACAAGCTGGCGGTCTAGGGATGGGGAGCTCGTGCTTCATTCACTCTTAAAGCCCCACATAGAGACACCTACCTGCCATAATAGATAACATTTGCGCTAATAGAAAAAGGGGGGAAACTTTCATTTACATTTTTACCGAATGAATTGTATCCCGAAAATATTAAGAGTAAAACCTAATCTACTGATAACAAACCTCTCGCTTCCCCACACTTGTTCGAATCAAGCTAGTAAAATAATCATGACGTCTGGCTTATGCAAAATTATTACATACTGCAGACGCCAAGAGATTGTCTATGGACATTCGGGAAAGTTTTCCTAGATTACGCGAGAAAAAAAAAAAAAAAGAGTCGATGTTCTCTCTCTATCTACGCAAACAATAAGTATGTTACACCAACATTACATAACAAGGTGTAGGCTATAATGTAAACAAATTTCAGGGGGCCAAAGTGTTTATCTCTTAACATTAAGGAGGAAGACATCGTCCAGATAACGATAATCAGCGACTTACTACACGGATTTTTTGTTTATTTACCCCCTCCCCAACAATAGCATTCTATTGCCCTTTATTGATGGGGAATGGAAAAAATTTTTTTTGAGAAACAAGTCTCTATTACTATGACAGATCGCATACGTTTGCGTTTCATAATCTTGCATTACAACCACGTACAATATAGGATGAGATTGTGCAATGACTAGTTCCCTCCGAGCGACTTAGAAATCGACTATTGGGCGTGTCTCCGAATTTACCAATTGTTAGATAACAAGAGACGTGCCTTACTTTGATTGGGAGATTATGATTGGTTTGCTATCAGCTGATGAAGGAAATCATATACTTTAACAATGAAATGTATTCGTTGCGTATTAGTATAAACAATATAATATACTGAATAATGTATTAATTCATAGTAAGGAGAGGGGGCGTATTAGCAAAAGTTGCGGGCGAATGACAATAAAAATAAATTTAAGTGAAATATCAAGTATCCAGTATCACTCTTTACCCCAACTGTATTTCAGATGGACAAGATAAATTCAGGAAATACTGGAAAGCCCAGTCTACCGACCAAAATTACTAAAACTTGAATATCGAAAATGTATAGATAATTGGAGCATCTTTTAGCATGTAAATTAAATTGATATCGAGTATGGTATTGACCATCAAAATAACGCGTGAACTATAGTATGCTGTATATAGGTCATATACTTCCATCCAGAATATTTATATTGCTATGCAGTAGAAATCAATACTGAATAAGTGAACCTGCAACAAAAATACTGTCATTGATAAACAATCAGATACAATAACAAGGGAATATAGTTGACATGTAGCAAGTAGTTTGAACGGAAGGTCGGCAAAGTGATTGTGTAAAAAGTGCTCAATTGTAACAGCAAACGGTTTTTATATGCAATGTGGTTGACGTCTCTTTCGTTATGGGAGAAAGACAAGAGGAGTGTTATTGTCACAAAAAAATTTTATTAAGCAACATTCAGTTCGACGACATCACTGAGTATGAGGAATCGCTTTTCGTTCAACTAACTGTTAACAAACCGTTAATTAAAGTTTATAAAGGATCTATGAACAAAAAGCTGATGATTGTGGAGACATAGCGGCATTCCTACGATAAATAATATTCAAGTTTGAGTTTTAATGCTACTTTTCTTTGTGAGCTTGTAATGCTCAAGTTTCTATATATAAACGGTACTACCACAATGCACACAGCACATGTTCATGATTCCTCCTCCTCTTCCTCCTCCCCATCTCCATCTTCGTCTTGTTCACGATCTTCTTGTGGATAGGCGTTCCTATTTTCACCAGGTTTGGCAATTGCTTTCTCAGGAATTATACCTTCCGGATTTAAGTAAGAGTAACTATCGTCGAAATGCACATCCATTGCATTTAACCAATTCTGAAACCTAAATATAAAGTAAAAATGTTGGAAGCTATTCAGAAAAAAACCAAAAAAAAAAAAAAAAAACCAACCAACAAGTTACTAACAAATGATCACTTACACATTCTCTGCAAATTCTTCTTCATATATTTTGGAATAAATAAAGTCTTCTTTAAACTTTTCTATTTCTTGCTGGTGATATCATGAAAATCTGGCATTAGTCTATTAAAACACAGTCTTTGGAATCAGATATCTCACAACTGTTTGTAATACTAACACTATACTTTGCAAAGTCAACCGTCTCTCTTCCCCCTGCTTCTGCCTTTCTGTTGTATGATTTAAATATAGGCTAAAGAGAGTATTGGTAAGCATGTATAGAATAAATCGAGTCTGCGAGGAGTCATGTGTCAAATTGCTGCCGTTCTTGCACACAAACTTTTAAAATATAATTCACCTGTTCGAGCAATAGTCCTAATGATGGAGCTCTGGGGATATTAATCTTCTCAATGTTGAAAGTTTTGGCGATCAAGGACAGTGGGGTGTCACTTCTCACAACCATAACAATTAAAGCTATATAATTGAATTTGCACATGAATAAACTTGAGAACCTGAAGTAACACCATTTTTTACTGCTATTCCATGATCTGGTTTCACCAACAAGCGTTATCTCAAATAGCTACTTACCAACCATTTTTCTTATTTGATGCAACATGAATGACTGACCATGAACTTTCAACTTGAGCCACTCTGTATCATTAATCATCTTTGGCGAGCTCACCTGCACAAAAGAGGATTGATTTGCTGCTCACCGCAAAAGTACAAACATTCATTTAATCTCATAACTTGCTCACCTCAAATTTCACTATATACCTGTCACAACTTCGTTCATGATACGTCCTCCCACTAGTAAAGTTATGAAAGTTGTGTGTTCCTTCATACTCTCTAAAACCTTGTCTGACAACATACAATGTATCAGCAGGAATACGGTACGTCCTCTTTTCAACCATCTCTTCTGGAGTAGCAACCGGTATATTCACCCATGGCTTTCGGAACGAATTATCTTGTGACTGTTCATTGACCAGCGTTGGTTCAGCAGCATGGGGCGTGGGTGAAGTTTTAGGAGGTGCCGGTTGGAAAACATATGATGGTATAAGATATTCGTATATGCGCGAGTCGCAAAGTGTCTTGGCGTGAAATGACCGAATTACACGAACAAAACCTAATAGCATTTGAGTAATGAATGAGACAAAGGAAATGACCGGAGGGAGGGGAAAGAAACGAAATAACGTACCCCACATTCGAAGCTGATCGGGCAAATTCTCGTTGATTTTCTGTACTAGGTCAGGAATGTCGACTATCATGTGTGGAACGACGCGTATAGCAACAGGATTTGATCTCAGCCTTGGAAAACACAAGTGTAGAATACCAAACAAATAAAAAAGAAATACTCATCTTTAATGAAATTACGTTCGCGGCCGCATGTACTCCTTTATCTGTTCGTGCTGCTCGCATTAAACTGACCTAATAGATGTTAACAGTGAGGGTCATTCATTCATTAATTCATTCACAGTTAATGAGATTCGGCTTTTTATTCACACGGACCATGTACCTTCTTGGGATCATCAGAATTATCCTTGGAAACTGCTCCAGCGGCTACGAAAGCCTTAAAAAGGTCACCTTCAATGGTTTTGGCATTTGGGTTTCTTTTTTAAATAAATTCTTTTCGATAAGCTTCTCTCTCACAATTCTTTCAATTCATTTACAGTCACTTTTTTTTTTCTAGTCAACTGTTTTCCCATACATTTGCATGCCTTGATACCCAGTTCCACAAAATCCCACCAAAGCGGCAACTTTTCTTTTGGGTTTTCTGGGTTCTTTTGCGTCTCCCTTGTCGACTTGTTCGGTATCTTCATCACATGCGGGTTCGTTATCTCTATCAACCGATTCTCCCGGCTCGTTGTTGCGCTCTCTCCATTCCTCGGCAACTTTTGCATAGCGTCGATTAAGATGTTGTCGTCTGTCCCTGGCAGTTGTAAATCGTTTTTTTGCTGGCCGTGTAATTGTTTTAGAATCCAAAGTTGATTCGGGGTTTGAGGATTGTGGGCTATTATTTCCTTCATTGGTTCGCTTATGGCCGGGAGGAGTGGAATTTTGTGATTGATTCGACATTGTGTTGGCCTGTGAAAGATATGGACGTGATGCTAAACTTGTGCTTGGAGCACCGTAAGGATTAATGTTTATATGTTTTCGAAAGATGGATGATAGTTGAAAGCTTTTTCGGGATGACATTTAACATTAGCGTTTAGTCACATGATATTGATATGCAGTTTTTTGTCCCAATAAGTCGGTAACTCTGCAAAAAAAAAACCCCCTCCAATTACTGTATGAATATTAACACAATTCTCAGAATCTCATATTTGGGGCAGACTGCAACAAAACCAGACAAAGTGAACATTTGCTTATACAAGTTAAAAATTGCTAGTTAGTGCAGACGATCGAATGCCGGATTGGCTTCATCGCGAGTTTGATGGGCTGAATACATTTTACGTGTCATTTGATATCATATGCTGGCTTATCATTCCCAACCGATTTCCATTGCAATAAAATAGCTGAGGTAGGTTATGCAACCGGGTTGGCCTTATCACGAGTTTGATGACCAGATTGCGATTATGTCATCATTTGTGGAGGCAAATAGCCAGAGTATCTGATATCTAGTTCATTATATACATGTTATCTGGACATGTTATATATATGCTATCTGGTTATGCTATATACACGATATCTGGTTATGCTATCGATAATGCTATCAGGCTATGCTATCAGGCTATGCTATCAGGCTATGCTATCGAGTACGTTACATAATTGCTATCGAGTATGGTGTCAGGCATGCTAAACATATGCTATCAGATATGTGTTGCGTAATTACTATCGAGTATGTTATATTTCTGCTATCGGGTATGCTATACACATGCTATCAAATATATGTCGCGTAATTGCTATCGAGTATGCTATATACATTGCTATATACACATTATCAGATTATGCTATCGAGTATGCTATATTCTTGCTATTGGGTATGCTATCGAATACGCTATATTCTTGCTATCGGATATGCCAAACATATGCAATCGAGTATGTTATATTCCTGCTACCAAATATAATATTGTCTTACCTTGTCCCTAGCTGGTCCTAGTAGCAAAATATATGTTTACTTACCTTGACCCATAAAAGTATGCCGAATTTTTTGACTCAAGTTGTCACTAGATGTCACTAGTTGTTTGCAGGTACTTGTGACAGAACTTGTGACGCTTGTTTGAGAGTTTTGAGCTTCTTTATTTCTTTCTTGATTAATTATATATATCTGTCACAAGTAACTTAAGTAAAATAGTAGAATTCTAAGGGAAAAAAAAAAATCAAAACCTTTCCCTATGGTATATACCCGATGCATATACTATATATACGTGATACATATACGTACATAGACTCGATGCGTATACATATGCCCGATACATATACTCGATACATGCATATGGTATACATATAGAAAATAATAAAATAAGGTGGGACTCAACAAATTAACCTAAGAAATTTGTGACATTTGTGACAGTTATCGAGAACAGTTTTTTTTGAACTCAGACTTTCAAGAACCTATCTTTCTATCGATTTTTTTTACTTGAGACGAACTCGTGACAACTTATGACACTTGATTGGACTATGTCGCAAAAGTTTCGTTTTTGATACACCAGGAGTTCCGTTTTTGATAGATCGGCAAGCACCCCAAATTTTGGTTCCTTT